TCCCTGCTGCTAGACAGTTTGGAGCCAGGCATTATTTCCCCTACGCATTAACAGTCCTTGAAGGTTTTACTGAGAGTCCGTCTGTACAGGTCTTCTTGCTTGGCATTGAGGACCTTCCATCCCCTTCCCAGTTTTCTTAAAAGTTGACAAGAGCAAATAAAAAAAAAATCTTATGCTTCCTCTATCAAAATTAGTATTTCAGATTATGTGTGCAGTCTTTATGTGTTCAGGCTTTATATGACATGTATTTGTGTGTTACATGTGGTGTGTTTTCTGCCTCTTGGATGGCATAACTAGGGTGTAATATTTTTATCAGCCTAAAGATATTAAGTACTTACATAAATTAAACAGGATCCTGTGGTTGGGACAAAATATTTATGTGAAAACCAGTTATAAGTTTAATGTCTTTTAGAGTTATTAACAAAAATATGTTGTTTTGCAGTTTATATTATAATCTTTTGGTTAAGTATATTTGACAACCTTCCCAAAGTTTAATCTAAAAACTGAGAAATGACTTTGGGTTATTCCCGTGGGCCCCTGGAATACCTCAAGGATTTATTCTCTCTCCTTATAAAAGTTTTTGAATTAATTAGGCCAATTTGATATGCCCAAATTACATGGGAAGCTCTGCCAAACAGAATGATAACTATTTTATTAGTATACATATATTTTTATCAAAATAGATTTTATGAAAATTTCAACCTGCCTCAAGGAGGAATTGCAAAGATTTAAAATCGAGTTCAAGCAGGAAGCTCTCAGTGGTAGCATGCGTCCTGTCCATGATGCTGGACAAGCCAAGGGTGACGGGTCCCTGTGGGGACATCAAGCAGTGGCAGTCTGGGTATTTGTAACCCACACATTGGAAACTACGAATTGTTTCCAATGCTCAGTGCACACTTCCAGTAAGTCCTGTATGGTATTTAAAACCTTGCATACTATTAGGTCTTTATAGATGTTAAAATTGTATATTAAATCTAAAGCTATAGGCTTTATGCCCTGGCCGGTGTAGCTCTCTGGATTGAGTGCCTAGCCTGCAAACCAAACAGTCACCAGTTCAATTCCCAGTCAAGGTGCATGCCTGGGTTGTGGACCAGGTCCCTGGTGGGGGGTGCTCAAGGGACAACCACACATTGGTGTTTCTGTCCCTCTCTTTCTCCCTCCCTTCCCTTTTCTCTAAAAATGAATAAAATCTTTAAAAAAAATTAAAATATGGGCTTTATGTTGTTATGTCATCTCACAGTAATTATTACTTATCAAGAAATTGTCATCTTGAAATATTATATTTTACAGAGAAGCAAAGTTCTTTATGAATTGCAGTTTAATCAAATCTATAGCGGTGTCATTTTAAATTTGGTCATTTAGGAACAGTCACTGTTTTACTCTAATACATTTGCAAATGTATCTTTGAATGGGTTCATGAAAGAGACGCTGACTTACTCTAAATTGCGGGCATCTAAGTAGGTCATGGGAATACTGGCCAGTAATCAAGACAAACAATGTTGGTTATATGGGACTAAATGAACTAAAGATCATTTTTCTTCTTATGACTCTGTTTGAAATATTACTAATTTTAAATCTTTTTGGTTTCCAGATATAAGGAAACTTGTTTTTTTCCTAGAACAATTTACAAGTTCTATCCTCATAAGCAATATTGAAACATTTACACTTTTCTCCCTACCTAATCCCTGCAAAATTCTGCAACTCTTAATGAGTGAATATTATTTTCATGGCAATTTGTTTGTTCACATAAACCCAATAAGAATCTGGTACCTTTACAATAGCACCAGTTTCAAAAAGTGGTTTTAATAACCAAGTCTATGTCTGGGAATGTCATGATCGAAAAGAGTCAGCCTGGACTCTGGTGTCACCAGAAAGCCTTAGGGAATTAAGATTGACTTTTGAAGCCAGTTAGAGCCCCTTGGAGAAACAGCCTGATACCTTGCTTAGTCACGTGGTACATGGCAGTCTTTCCAGGTAGGGAGGAGTGACGGTTGCTTTCCTGAAAGATGGCAAAGAAGGAACCTCAGGACACTTTAGAGGCCTCAAAAACTTGAGAAATCCACTCAAACTAGTAGATATTTCAGGCAAAGCCAGATGGCACCTGTGTGTCTTGGCTTCTGTGCCCTGAAGGGCTGACAAAAGCTCAGTCTGAAGGTTCCTTGTGAAAATTCCATCAAAGCAAATTTGAAGGAGCCTATATAATCAATTACTATTCTTGTTGTATTCATGCATATAATCAATCAGGCCACATGGAAACTGGACTTAATGCAGTCTCTTTGATAAAGTGAGGATGATTTTAGGGGAAGAAACTGTGTTGCAATGCAAATCACAATGTCCAACTGTTACCCACAAACTGACTAAATCCTACTTTTCCTAGTTTTCTTCCAACCTAATGTTTCACTTTTTTTTCTTTCATCTTTTGACTTGGAATTACTGACTTGGAATTGCTTTTAACTTGGAATTGCTTTTCCAGCTGTCCAGTCCCACCCTTTTCTCCTCAATGTCCCATACCTGGACCCACAGGCAGGGACAGCTCTACAGCCCTAGCCCACCTGAAGTAGTTAAATAAGAGACCTTTGTCCCTACTCCCCAAAACCAGAACCAGGCCAGGTCATTAAGAATAAATCCATTTTAAAACCAGAGAGGGGAATGAAAGGATAAAGTCAGCCCCATTTGCTATTGTGGCACAGTTTGCCTAGCAGGCCTGTGACCTCGCTAAACATGACTGCCATTTTACTCTTCTGAGTCTGTCCCCAGGACTGGAAATTACTGGGAGCAAGAACAGAACTAGCCCCTCCTACAGCCACAGGCAGAAGATAAGTTGGGACAACTGCAGCCTTCTGTTAGACACGCCCCAACTGCCCAGGGGCCACACAAGAGCAACCTCCCACCCTTTTTTAATCCAGTTACAGCCCAAAAAAAGCTCAAAGCCCCCAACCCCCAATGCTGGCTTGTCTCTCCACACCACGCCCCTCTCCTTTCTTGGAGAGTGAATAAAAACTTGACTCTACGCTTTCTTCTCTTTGTGAATTCTTTCACAGCCCACCCTAACACTGTTTAGTAAACCATCATTTGCTTTCCTTTAAACCCGCTTCCTTTTTATAAGAATGCTATCTCAGGGTGTAAAAGCTGTGGCCAACAAACATTTTCAGGAAGCCATTTGCCAGCTTCCTCCTGTCTCGCTTGACCCCTTGCCGATCAATCCAACTAGATGGCATTGTCAGGGGAAGCATTCTTAGGCAGAATCCAGGCTCTCGCTCATACTACTTAGGCACACCTTGCTTTTATGGCCTTGTGGTTTCAACTGAAACAAGTTGTTCTGCATACTTCCTGAGACAGCTGTAGCTCTGTGACCTCCTGGTTTCAGTCCGTCAGTAATCTCGCTGATAACTGGGCCCAGACAGGATTTTTTCCTAAACACTTTGGACCCAACATTCCACAAACCAGGCTCCAGGGCAAGCTTTGCTCAGAGCACCCTTGGGACTAGGAGCCAACAAACATGTTTTGCCTAGTCTGCAGCCTACTCAAACATGGGCTATCGAGTTTCAAAACAGTATGAGTTCAAGGGGAAAAGACGTTTGTTCTTAATAGACAGCGACAACTTAAGAAGATTTTCCAAGTCAAAAATTTCTTTGCCCATCAGATAGGTCTTAGGAGAGTGTGACGATTAGGAAAAGTAAAACAAGTTTTTCCATAGTTATTTTTCAAGGAAATTAAACATGACCCTGCATACTGCGGAAGTAAACATGCCATTCTGATGCTGAAACTCAGGATCTCTCGACTATTTCAGTGAATCAGAAATGCAGACAGACACAACCCTGCCATGCACTTATCGTTGCTCTGTGACTTAGACCCATTCAACACAACTACAGCATGTGGGTTCGACACAATTTGTTCATTTATAAACATGTGCTGTTAGGCTCTGAAAAGAGTAACCTTACCCAGGATTTTAGGTTACACTGCTAAAAGACAATGTATAATATAAAAGATATGTATATACAAGGTTTTCTTTAGGAAAAAAAATATTGTCTATATTTAAGATTTTACAATCAATTTTTAATAACCGTGGAAGCTATTGCAACAGGGATATTAACCGTATAAACTAAATTTTTGAAATCATAGAAACTAATTTTTGTTATGTCTATTATTTCTAGAGATGAACACTTTATTTTCTTTCTGGGGAAAAATGTTAATCAGGTTTAGGAGCCATGGTACAAAAAGGTAGTCATTACCACAAAATTAAATCATTCCCCTGTCGTATTTATATTATACGACTTTATGTGACTTTATATGACTTTATTCGGATTCACTGAAAGCAAATTAGATTTACAAGGGGAGGGGAAATCTCACAGGAGCTCAAAACCAGATGATTTCCCGAAATCATAGGTACACCTGAACACCATTTGTCCATCTACAACCCAACAGCATCCCCTACACAAGTTCAGCACCCCTCACTTTCACTTTCTCATCCATACTATTAAAAGAGTAAAAAACTTCATTTTTTAAAAAGATAAGCCACAATTCACAAGTTCATGAGCTCCCCGTGTCAGTCCTAGGCACTTGTGCTTTATCACTGCCCCACTCCCATTTTGATGTTAACAATTATGTCTCAATTCCAAATGTACAAAAACTGTCTTTAAATAATTTATTTTTACTCTGTAAGTTCTTACATAACTTTTAAATCGGCTTCATAAGTACAATGAGTATCCTCACCATTAGCAACCGAACACTACTATGTCGGGCAGGCGTTACATTATAAACTGCCATTTCGGTTAGTGCAGAGATTTAAAATAAGACCGCGACATGTTATCGATTCCAGACAGCTTCACAGTCACAGTCCCTAAGCTGTTTTTTTTTTTTTTTCAAGCAGTCTGCTTTGGACTGAGAACAGAGGAAGCCAGAGAAATGATGTTTCAGTAATCATGAACTCTCAGGAATTCTTTTCACCTAAGCTACAAGCCCTCAGTTTAAAAAATACATAACAAGCCAGTGAAACTTACTTGACGGTGACTCGGTTGGATAAATCCTGTAGATCCCCAGGATGGAAAAGCTGGGCTTCTTTCAATCCAATCTGTTCACAAGCTTTCAGGAAAACGTTTATATTATCCTGTGAAAAGAAGTAGAAAGTGATTGCTTAGCTGAGCTCTCTCTCAGACAAAGGTTACAAAATTTTTATGATATAACTTCCAGGCTTCAAAGTCCAAAGAGCCAGCAAAAAAGGAGGCAGCAAGACCGATGAATACATGTATTAAAAAAAAAAAAAAAAGGCATGTGTAGCTTTTCAGTCTTTAAGAGCATAAACGTGGTGCTCTCTTGCACCCCGGCATACGCTGTCTCTGTGATCTTTGCGACCGGCACGTTAAACATTACCTGTTACAGGACAAGTGCCTAGCCACTGAGCAGCAATCTACACTTTGATGTCAGCTCCGCTCTGCAAACAAACGCCCTCTTCCCAGCTTAGCACGACAAGCCTCACCTCTCCTCTTTAAAAATAACTCCAGCTACTGACATTCACCCACCCAGAAACTGTTGGCAGGGAGGAAATAAGAGGAGGAACATTCTGTTTCTATGATTACAAATTACAGAAAGACTGTGGAATACCACACCTGGAATCTGGGTTTGGTTGCTGAGCCGGCTCTTGACAGACAGGGAAACCATACTATAGGACCCAGGAGAAGCTTAGTGTTCATTGGCTAAATCACATAGTTTAGGTGTGGTACATTGCTCAACGCCCTGCAACCTGCCTCAGGAACTGCCTCCAAGAAATAAAAATCTAGGTTGTCCTCGTCTCCAGTTTCAAAACCAAATCACCCATTCAGAAGGACCAGTGCTTTTCATGTATGTGAGCTGCTACACAGACACTGGTTACAATATATTCTATTTTACAGTTGGCTGCACTTCAGAGACATACACTTGGTGAGCCGAATTAGCTTGAGTTTCCACCTTTACTCCTCTTCAGAAAACCCTTTACAAGGTTGAGCTTGTGATGATCCCATGCGGATTCTAACCTTGGCTTTATTAGGGTTCTCAGGCAAGAGAACTGCCTCCTGCATTGCCAACACACGTTCACCCACTTAGGCATGCTGGCAGCACATCTGTGGGTGGGCCTTAGAACCTCCCTGAGACCTCGGCTCCCTCCCTACCAGCTGGCCAAGACAAGTAGGGACCAGAAGACGACCTATCCCTTGAAGAGGGGCCACTACTCCTTTCCCATGTTCAGGAGCTCATCCTCACAGGGAGAAAAGGCAGGATGGGCTGGCAAAGTGGGAGGGAATGGTAACAAGAGAAAGATGAAGGGGTTAAATTTCATAGGTTGGCTTCTTCAAGAGTGAGGAGATTTAGGAAAAGGGCAAGCAGATGTATAGCAAGAGAAAAGCAATGCTGATTGCTAAGAAACTCAGGGACATTTGCTGAATAGAAAAAGAAAGCTTTGTAGAGGTGAGAGGTTATTTTAGTGCACTATCAGTAAAAGATGGTGCAAAGTACCTAGCTGAAAGCTGAAAGCCATGATTCATTTTAAATAAGGTCAAAAGTTAAAGGAACTTACAAGTCAAAAGTTAAACAGCTCAATGAAAGGCATTTTATCTGACCTTATATGGAAAAACGGGAAATAAAGTTTTGGCAAAATTCCAGGGGTAGAAAAAGTGATCATTTTGTTGATAAGCTCACATAATTTCTAGAAACTATATTATTTGCAATTGTCAAATGATTCAAGTTAATGGTTCTATAACTTGCCCTCAGACAGGCAGACGAGAGTAAATGTTTGGTATAACAGTACCCCAAATCCTGTAAGAAGCAAATCACATACCCAAAAAGGAAAAATAATCCATAAGAAATCTTCCCACAGATACAAAGCCAATATTCAGAAATTGAAGGCATTTTTGTACATCAACAATAATTAGAAAGAGAAACAAAGAAAAAAATCCCATTTACTATGGCAACAAGAAAATTAAAGTACCTAGGACTAAACTTAACCAAGGAAGCAAAAGACCTGTACTCAGAAAAGTATAGAACACTGAAGAAATAAAGGAAGATACAAATAAATTGAAGCATATACCTTGTTCATGGATTGGGAGAATAAACATCATTAAAATGTGCACACTACCCAAAGCAATCTATAGATTCAATGCAATCCTTATTTAAATACCAATGGCATATTTCATAGATCTAGAACAAATACTCCAAAAATTTATATGGAACCAAAACAACACCAAATAGCCTCAGCAATCTTGACAAAGAAGATCAAAGTAGGAGGGATCACAATACCTAACATCAAACTATAATACAAGGCCACTGTATTCAAAACAGTCTGATACTGGCATAAGAACAGACACATAGATCAGTGGAACACAACAGAGAGTCCAGAAATAAACCAAAGTTTTTATGGTCAATTAATATTTGACAAAGGGGACAGGAGTATAGAATGGAGTGAAAATAGCCCCTGCAATAAATAGTGTTGGGAGATCTGGACAGGTACACACACAAAAAATGAAACTAGACCACCAACTTATACCACGTACCAGAATAAACTCAAGATGGATAAAAGACTTAAATGTAAGCCATGACACCATAAAAGTCCTAGAGGAAAACAAAGGCAGTAAAATTTCAGATATCCCACACAGCAATATTTTTGCTAATTTATCTCCTAGGGCAAGGGAAATAAAGGAAAAAAATAAATGAATAGGACTACATGAAATTAAAAAGCTTCTGCACAGCTGAAGAAACCATCATCAAAAATGAAAGGGGAACTGACCAAATGGGAAAACATATATGCTGATGATACATCAGACAAGGGTTTGATCTCCAAAATATATAAAGAACTCATATGACTCAACAGCAGGAAAAGAAACAATCCAACTAAAAAGTGGGCAAAGGACATGAACAGGCACTTCTCCAGGGAGGACATACAGAGGGCTCAGAGACATAGGAAAAGATGCTCAGCATCACTAGCCATCAGAGAGATGCAAGTTAAAACCACAATGAGATACCTCTTCACACCAGTCAGCATGGCCATCATAAACAAATCAACAAACAACAAGTGCTGGGGAGGTTGTAGAGAAAAGGACACCCTAGTGCACTATTGGTGGGAATGCAGACTGGTGCAGCCACTGTCAAAACAGTATGGAGTTTTCTCAAGAAACTAAAAATGGAACTGCCTTTTAACCCAGCAATTCTGCTGGGATTACACTCTTAAAATCTTGAAACCAATTCAAAAGAACCTATGTACCCCTATGTTCATAGCAGCACAATTTACAATAGCCAAGTGCTGGAAGCAGCCTAAGTGCCCACCACTAAATGAATGGATCAAAAGACTGTGTCCATTTACACAATTTACAAATGCAAGAGAAAAAAGGAGCTCCTCCCCTTAGCGATAGCATGGATGGAACTAGAGAATATTACACTAAGTGAAATAAGCCAGGTGGTAAAAGACAAATGCCATATGATCTCATCTATAAGTGGAACCTAATAAAACAAACAAGCAAGCAAAATAGAGCGAGAGGCAAGGAAACAAGGAACAGACTGACAGCAACCGGGGGGAGGGGAACAAGGTTGGAAAGAAGGGGAAGGGTCTAGTCAAGGAACATGTAGGAATGATCATGGATATGGACAGCATGGTAGGGACTGACTGTGGGAGCAGGGAGGGGAGGGAGGCTAGGCAAAGGAGAACAAAGGGGGAAAAATTGGGACAACTGTAATAGAACAACAATGAAATATTTCATTTAAAAAAGTCTTCCGACAAACTCTATTTGGTTGTGGAAGTTTAATATAGTATAAAACATTCGAACAAAGTTAAGCTAAAAGTAAACCTATTGAACTGACAGCCAAAATAATTCTTCACATATTTTACAAACACATAATAGAATGCATTCAGTTGACAAATATGCCCAGGTCAATGAAGACAGATAAAGCCTCACATGCCTCAAACCCCATCCAAAGTATTTAGAAAGGAACCATTTAAATTCTAAAGTGACTAAGCTTCCTTGGGAACAAAGACAAAATACGATTAACAAGAAAAAATTCTAATTTTAAATAAAGACTTTATTAAAAAGTAGAATCTTTTAAATAGTTTAATGATGCTCAAGTTTGTTTAAAACAGATAGACTTCATAAACCAAGCCACACAGGGCCTAGGCAGTAGGAGCAGGCTGTACTAGGATCAGAACTGTGACTGAACCATGGGCACTGGACTGGAGCCCACTGGTAATTTACTTTATGAGATTTCAGAGAGTTGCCTAAGGGAAGAAACAAAATTATAAAATTTTCATGTCTGGTGAAGAAACCACACCCAGCTCAACATATTAACAGGGAAGCACATAGTCCTCATGTAATGGGATTATTTTCACTTGAAACTAGCAAAGATGAATAAAAGTAAGAACAAAGGACAAATCTGAAACAACTCTTATCTCATTGGACAGGAAGCCAGGACTCCAAGGTAGCTCTGCCAGTAACCAACCCCGTGGCTGTAGCCCATTACCAAGGGCACGTACTTGTGCCTGCAAGGGCAGGCAAGCCCAGCCCTTCCCACAAACATGACATAGCCCAGCTTACATAAAACACTGCAGGTCAAAAGCCTGCTCTAAACATCTATAATTCCTACACTTTGAGGGCCAAAAATGGCTTCCTTCTCAAAAATAAAACACCCAAAAGGATGATCCCTGAATATGTGCAATAGCTCCTTTTAGGTGTAAGTTTTTCTGTGACTATGAGTAAAAACAAACACTATATAAACACAAAAAGCAAGATAGCTGAAGATTTTCATATTCACTGAAACCCCCTCTCCACAGCTTGGACTGGAATCAGTTCTGAGGGCTGTCATTAACAGGTTGCGGGGCAGAGGGGCCAGGGCAAATTGGAGAAAAGGAGATTAATGAGTCAGGGACAGTACTTGCTATAACCACTGAGGCAAGATGAGGAAGCCACGAACGTTTACAAAGTTCCCCAGGGCTGTATTGGTCTACTGCAGTACCTCTATAGATTAGCTACTGCTGCACAGAACACGATCCCAAAACTCAGCGGCTTAAAACAATAAACATTTACGATTTCACACAGTTCCTGAAAGTCAGAAATTTGGGAGTGGCCTAAACTGGATGGTTGCTGATGAGATGTC